CGACGGAGGCGAGGTGGCCCGGGCCTGCTTTTGGAGGCGCGGAACGCGGCTGCCTCCCGAGGCCTCGGGCCTTGCTTTGCGGGACTCCCGCGGTGCGGGCTCCTTGGAGGCCCGGCGCCTGGCGCGGCTGTGGCGAGATCCCGCTCTGGAATCCGGGACTCGGGGGGCCCAGGTCCGAGGTCAGGGACCGGCGCGGGCGGCCCGCTGCCGTTTCGGGCCGGGACTGCCTGGTTGGGTCCCGCCCCCAGGGCAGCGCCCCTAGCCGCGCGGGCCCCGCCTGCAGACAAAGGCGAGCGGCCTCGGCTCTCCGCCCGCGAGCAGCTCTGGTCCCCGCGTTCGCGCCTCGGTTGGCCGAGTCCGCGGCCGGGCGGAGGGGGAGGGGCGCGAGTGGCTCCCGGGCTGGCGGAGCCCAGCTTGGCCCGTCCCCCGCCCTGCGCCGGAACGCGGAGGGTCGGCGGCGGAGCTTTCGCCGACTCGCGGCTCCTGGGAAGGAGATCCCCCGGAGCCGCAGCCCGGAGCCGCAGCCGGACGAAGGCAGCGCCGCGGGGCAGCCCTGATTTCCCGGCGGCGACTCGGGAGAGGAGGCTTCGGGGAAAGCGGGAGGACCGGGCTTATCTATAATGAGTCTTGTCCCTTGGCTCGCGGTGAGATCTTTATCGTTTAGATTTCTAATCGCCCTGGTTTTCCCCCTCTGCGCTGGTTCCGAGAGTGGAAGAGGCAGGCTTTTGATTAAATGTGTAACTGAGCCAAGGTAATTAGCCATTTGTAATTTTTGCCTAATTTTCCTGCCTCTGTTTAAAAGCGATTTTGACGTGTTTTTATCGCGTCCCTGCTGTTTCATACCGCCACCGCCGCACGGTCCACACCCACCCAAACATCCCATCCGGATGCTAGGTTTTCAAATAATACACAGATGTTGGGAGAGCCTCCCAGGAGACACGATTAAGGAGGCAGTTTCACACCAACGCACCCAAAGAAAGCCCTTTGAAAAGTTACGTTTGGGATGACAAATAAAAGCCCGGAAGTTCTCGGGGAGGGCCTGGGGTCTATGTTTAGCAGAAGGGGGTGAACACCCTCCTTAGGGTGGGGAAGGCGGGAGCTTGTTTGCTTTGGAACTCGGTCCTTCCTGGCTTTGTTGGACTCGCGGCTCCAACGCGAATCCTTAAGAAGACCAGTTTTCTTGAAAGGGTTGTGTTTCAGGGATGTCCATTAGGAGCTGGAGCCAGGATTGAGTGACGCCAGCATACTCAATTCCCGAGAGGCTGCACAGTGACCCGGAGAAAACCTGCACAACTTGAGTAAGACCCGGGGCTGCTTCCTCCAGCGCAGTAAAAAAGGGGCCTCCTGTAGGGAGCTAGCCTTCCAGGCCCTGGGGTGGATACTCTTTGAACTGGTGGTTCAACAAATGTATGGAGTCTTCCTGCGGGCCACACTGGCAAGACAACGAAACACGACAGCCTGTTCACCTGTCAGTGGCTGTGGAAAATTAGAGAAAAGAGGCTTTGGGAAGACCCTGAGTGTAGAAGGAAACAAAGGGTTGAGGCACCCAGAAAATGTCGCATGGGCTCGGAAAGTGAAGTACCACCAGCCTGGTGGAGCAGGGGATCCCTGCTAAACTCTGACATCACATTAGGTATAGGCTAGCAACTGTCCTTGGTCCCAGGTGGAAGTTTACCCCAAACTGCTCTTTTTTTTTTTCAAAGTTTTATTGATAAACAGATAGCAATGAGACAGTTTCAAATCAAATCGGAAGTACAGTTTCAACAAATAATACACTGCATATATTCTT